GGGTCCCCAGCTCATGCCAGCTCCCCCAGGATGCAGAGTCCGATATGACTTCAACCAGCAATGTTTCTGAAGGTCTACGAGCTCACAGAGAAGAAGGTTCTCTTTGTGATGTGTCCTTTGTACTCCCGTGATTTCCCAGAACGAGCTGTCTTGATAGTATTTACTTACCTCCCAACAGAAGCAGCTCCCACAGGTTTACAGATCCAAAAGACAACTCATACAAATGATGCATAGTGATTACACATGAAGGATTTATTTAACTCCTTGATAACAGAAGCAGCAGGAGGACAAAGCCAGTAAAAAGGACAATGCAGGAAACAGATGTAGGTATAGTCAATGAAAGAGGGGGAAATGCTGGAATAAGATGCCACATTAGATACACAAGGCTTCGTGTCCTACAGAGCAATGGCGCCCTAAACTCTGATGTTATGCTCTCCGCCAAACGTTGGCATTGTCACTGGATAAAGATCACTGTCCTCACCATTAGAGTAACATATTTGCATCTTATCAGTTTTCTCCAAGCGCTCATGTAAAAAACTCCAAGGCAGTTTTTTAAAATGTCTGAATTCATGGTAAAGACTAAGCCAGGCTCACTAAATCCAGATGACACTTAGAGAAAGCATGACAGTGAGGACATGGGGTCCTTTTAGTGCCAAACCTCCAGGGTGTAGACAGTTTTCCTTAAGGGGATGGATTCTGAGTACAAGCATCAGACTTCAGTTTTGAACCATAAAAGAAGCATGCTTAATTCGTGTGCCCAGATGAGACCCTCTGTCTACAAAATTAAACCTGGACTCACCATAGAGTGGAATTTGGACTCCATCCACTACGAGCTCCTCTGTGACCCTCTCTATGTGCCCAGAATTGCACCAAGTCCTAGGAGAGAAGGATTCCCTGAGTTTCAGTTCAGTGTAGTGGAAGGAACCTGCCATTTGAAGCCTGAGACAGGCTGTTACACATTTTGGTTCTAAGTCTCTTCACAGCACAGAAAAGCCTGATAATGTCTCTCTGGGTCCAATATTGATTGTACAATGCAGATAAAAATATTTACCTTGACAGCTAAAAAGGAGATTGAATTGGGCAACA